ACGCTTCAATATACTAAATTATTTGTTTTTTTAAGCTCTACAAAATAGTTTGGAAAGAAATTACAAAATGTTATGTTTTTCGGGTCGAAAATTGGAAAAACCCATTTTTACCCCATAAAAGCCCCCATAAACCCCCGTTCCCATGGTCCGATCATGCTGGTTCGCGAACTCGTTCGAATAAACGTAGGTTAACACGTTTGTACCAAATTTCATCAAAATCGGATCATTTTTGCTCGAGTTATCGCGCTAACGGACACATATATATATATATATAAATATATATATATATATATATATAAATATATATATATATATGAATTTGAACGGATGGTGTTTTTGGCCTCTAGGGACCTCAAAACGAAAAAAAAAATCGGTCCCGGGTCCAGGTCTTACCATGAGTACTACGGTAATAGCTTATTCCCTATATGGGAAATTCGCTAATATTCCCTATATGGGAAATTCGCTAAAAACACACATTATCTTCGAATGTAAATGTTCCGGGCTCCTGCATGTGCTGACAGTTTAATCGGTTAGTATGAAAAACACAAAATGTGAACACATCGACAGTTTGATTGCCGATACACATTGAAGTAGCCTACACAAAATTTAGTCTATAAGTAAGTTAGGCCTACTTTGTTCTTACTAATCAATCTTAGTCGTTCATATTTATAATTTGTCGATTGGATTTGATTCTACGACTAATGATAATAACACTTTTGAATAATTTAAAACAATGATATTATTGCATTGTGGTTGGGTTGGGTTAGATAAGGACTCAGGGTCTCGGCGCGTCAACCATAGCGTAGGCCTATTATGCATTACATTCTTACTTTTGTTTTACATTAAATAGGCCTAGGTCTACTCAATGAATGTACCATTATTGCTATATGATTACCGTAACTAATTGAAGGTGAAATAACTTAGGTACCGGTAATCAATAGATTGACTTGTTTGTAAACACCAATAGTAATATGAGGCGATGAATTTGAATATCAAAGTTTTAACTCAATTAGCCTACACTATGTATTGGCTAAATCTTAGAGGGTTATAGATATTATTAACTTAGGCCTATTATTATTTGAAATTGGTTAAGTTCACTTTGGTTTTTTTTCAATTTGTTTGGTTATAACTTTTATAAGTAAATAAGACCTATTGCTTTATAAAAAAAAAAAAAAAAAACGCAGATTAGAGGATACGCGTCTGGTTACCGAATGTGGATTACTTAGGCACCCGGCATTGACGTCACCGGGTTGTGGGGGACCGGAACACCATTTCCACAACGATACGATATTTAGCCATTGGTGTTCATGGTGTGTAGATAAAGTACATGGCTGATGTACATGATGTATCTAGATCGAATCACATCGGTGATAGGCCCTAGAAGTTACTAACTTTTTGTCAAAGATTTTTAGAATCCCATTTCTTCTTAACTGTACATCTTTGGTTAGAATTTTTGGCATTTATTTTTATTTTATGAACAGAATTTAACCTTCATTTGATTTGTTCATTATCAGCAAGTTTGGTTGGTTAGGTTAGGTTATGACTGTAGGCACTTAACTGCCGGACGCATAATCCACGTCCACGGTCCCGGTTGCGTATCCTCTGCGAAAAGGATAACTTAACCTAATGTTATTCTTAAGCAAGTGAGCAAGTTATTCTTAGAACAAAACAGAAAACATTTTTTTAGTTTATTATGAATTTCTGTAATTTATAAGTTAACTGTAGGCCTAAGTTTATTCCCAGCATACAAATTAACGATAACAAAATTAAATTTAAGATGCTCATGATACTTAAAATCAATAACTTAGTTTCACATACCGGTAGGCTATTACCACCTATGTTTTATTAGTAATAAAGGGTACGGTACAGTTTCTTAACTGGGCTATGCTGATATCGATTGAAACTATCGATTCGATTAGTAAACCTTCATGCGATTTTTTCACCGTCAGCAAGTTTGGTTGGTTAGGTTAGGTTATGATAGTATAATTTTACATTATAATAGATAAATTTTAAAATATCGATTATTAACCAATATTTCCAATTCGATAGTTTCAATCGATATTAGCATAGCCCAGTTAAGAAACTGTACCCGTAATAAATCTTGTAATAAGATCTGGGAACAGTTTCTTAACTGGGCTATGCTTATATCAATTGAAACTATCGAATTGGAAATATTGATTAATAATCGATATTTTTAAAATAGGCCTATATATTTTTTTTAATATATTTTAAATTTTTTTTAATATATCTATTATAAAATTAAACTATCATAACCTAAACTAACCAACCAAACTTGCTGATGGTGAAAAAATCGCATGAAAGTTTGCTAATCGAATTGATAGTTTCAATCGATATTAGCATAGCCCAGTTAAGAAACTGTACCCTAAGATCTAAAACCCTTAAAAATTTTGTTGGATTATTTTATTCTCAGTTGGCCTATGTGGTGATTCGCAAAAGTAGCCTATTTACCTTGGAGTGTCAACCTCCATACTTAAGTGTACGATTAATGAAATAGTAAAACCCCTAACTTACCTGATAAATTTATGCCTAAGCAATAGTATTTTTCCGAACTGTCTTAAAATAGCAAGAACCATTCCAATTTTCAAAAAGGGAGATCCTTCAGTGATGTCTAACTATAGGCCAATCTCTATACTACCAGTGTTCTCCAAGATCTTTGAGACCGTCATGAAAATCCAACTGATGGCCTACCTTGAAAACAATCACTTACTTTCTGAGGCGCAACACGGCTTTAGGCGCGGGCGCTCAACGACCACTGCATTGACGTTCCTTGTTGAGAAAATCACCGAAGCCTTTGAGCAAAGCGAGTCAGTCCTTCTGAGACTCTGCGATCTAAGCAAGGCCTTCGATGTCGTGGGTCATGATCTGCTCATAGCGAAGCTTAGGAAGTATGGAGTTGGAGGTGCTGTCCTTGATACCTTGTCATGCTACCTGGCCGACCGCAAGCAGGTTGTCTCCCTGAAAGGTGCTTCCTCTTGTATTAGAGATGTTCCACACGGAGTACCTCAGGGCTCGGTGCTAGGCCCAATCCTCTTTACCTTGATGATAAATGACCTGTGGCTTGACGGATCCACCATGTTATTTGCAGATGACACCACCCTCATATCACAAGGAAAGGATATTGGACTGGTTCGGACTGAGGCCGACCATCTACTGGAACGGGCCAAAGACTGGTTCAACATGAACCGTTTCAAGCTGAACGAAGACAAAACACAATCGCTGCTGTGCACCCTGAAGCTTGATTTGCATAAAGATGAGGCCGTGAAACTTCTTGGGTTTTGGCTGGACCCCAGGCTAAGTTGGAATACACATATAGATAAGGTATGTACTAAACTTTCGAGAGTACTGTGTCTTTTAAGAAAGCTTCGTTACGTCATCTCAACGACCTATCTACTAAATGTGTATTATGCACTTTTCCATAGCCATGTCACCTATGGCATAGCAATGTGGGGACACGCACCACAAACTCAGGACATTCTCCTCTTACAGAAGAAGGCTGTGAGAATCATAACATCCTCAGACACTGATGAACACTGCCGGCCTCTCTTCATGAGGTTAGGAATACTAACAGTGCACAGCCAATATGTCCTGAGCAGCCTGCTACTCCTGAAAGAAAACCTTCACCGTTTTGAATTGAAGGAAAACCAACATAACCATAACACCCGTAAGGCCCAAGACCTTGATCTGCCGCGGTGTAGGCTTAGCCACTCCATCAAGAGCTACCCTCGCTCAGCTATTAAGATTTTTAATACGCTGCCAAAAGAAGTGAGAGAGCTGGACAGTGCGAAGTTCAAGGCAGTACTACACGGCCAACTGGTAAATAGACCCCTCTATTCATTAGAGGAATTGAAGGAGGTGCCACTAAAAGTCAGTTGAAATCAGCACTTCAGTAGGTTAGGATTACAACCGCCACAGCCAAAAACCAAAAATTTTTTAAGTGTATTTTATGCAAGAAGTCTGTAAATATTAGTTTTTAATTAATGTGTAAATAGTATGTTAATATGCCACTGACGCAATCTATCCGACATTGTCGGTCAAGGATTAAGGACACAAGTATCAAGTATCAAGTAAGTATCAAGTATCAAGTACCTTGCCTAGCCCCTAGCTGCATGCCATTAATGTATTTTTAAAACAACTATGACAATCGTGTGATGTGTAAATAAGTTTTAATGGAAAATAAGATTAGGTAAGTTTACTGGTCTAAAAGCTTAAAAACAGGTTGATAAAAGGGCCTAAACGTACTTGATTTCTACCTCAACAAAATTAGCAAATAAGAGACCCTCTGTGTAATTTAATTAGACACTCAGGTGTGTGTTGTAAGTTACGGGGGAGGCCGAGATTTGTTTTGAATGTCCTGTTTTTATTCTGAAACAACCTGGTCATCCTACTCTGGGCCTGACTTTTACAAACACAAATCAATGACTAGCCTATGCCTATATTAACTAAGCAAATCAGGTTAAGATTAGGTTTTTCTGGGTTTGGACTATCATGTGGTCCATAATACAAATTAAAAATAGCCATAACTTAAGCCTAATTATTAATACCTCAAAAGTTAATTAGGAATAATTACTTACCTTTAACTTTAAACTGTATGTAGGCCTATAAATAAATAGTAAACTTAAACTTAGTTGAAGTGAAGGAGGAGAGTGATGAGGAAAGCACATAAACATAAACAAACGGCAGCCGACAGCCATACAATAACGAAAGTCGAAACGATACGATAGTGATAAACTTAGTACGAGTACGATATTCCACCTTCAACAGATCGCTCAATCGATTACGTCAACAACTTTTTTTCTGACAGCTGACGTCATCGAATCCTCTTCTGTACCTCCCTTGAGTAAATCCCCAAGAGGAAGACATTTTTCAGAGTAAAAAAAAATAAATCCGAATGAGCTTCAGTCAGACCGAACCGAACCGAAACCGATGATGTTTTGTTGTTTTGTTTGAATTTGAAACCCTCTAGTCTAGTCTCCGTTTTTTTATTTAGTAGTTTTGGTTTGGTTCGTTGTTTGGTTTTTGGTTAGGATTTTGGAATCTGGGACGGGAAGGCGGCGTTTCCATCCAGCCTACCTACCTAGGCTATCAGTTTGGCATAACTTAAATTAATTTAGTTTGGTTAAGGCGATACAAACATAAACTACAATTAAAGTTAGGCCGTTAGGCCTCATCTTGGAATTGGAAGCAGGTAGGGGTATTAAGTATTCGATTTGGAGGGACTTGGTGAAAGGTTTAAATACATATTTTTAATAGGATAACAGATCGTGGGTGATTGACACAAACCAGAAGACTAATAACGGTAGGTCTAGGAAGCCTAAATAACACCAAACTCTTTAAAAAGTTTATTCTATTCTTCTTTAAGTTTTTAAATCTTGTAACTTAACTTACAAGGCGCTCGGGGTTTGGAAATTTTAGGCAGAGACTGTATTCCTAAGTTTAATCCTTGTAGATGTAAGTATTAGCCCTACTTTTGGGATATTTTATTAGGCTTACGTAGGCCTAGGCCAAGACAAGGACTTACTGGTACTGGTAATGATAGATGATGATTTTGTTGTCTGAAAAGCAAAGTCTCGGCTAGTTGTTTGGGTTTATATTACAGTGATCTAGGCTATTGTCCTTAAAAGTAGGTAGGGTAGGCTACAGGCAAGTGAAAAATAAAAACTCTTAATTGTTCTTAATTGTTTGTTAAAATGTAATCGTAAACTGTAATAAAACTCTGAAAAATGTCAATCGATGGTAAAAATGTCAACCTAAAGATATTTGTATTAATTTCCTCATTTTATCATTTTGTTTTTACGTACATGTTGTGTTTTAACCCTCCGAGTGTTATTTGTCGCTGCAGCGACACATAACACACTTTGTGTAGTGTTTTGTGTCGCTGCAGCGACTCACAAACACTGTTTACGGCAAAGGCTCTATGACTGACAAAATCGGATTGAACTGGATCGAGTTAGGTATCGTTTTATTTGATAGATTCAGAGCTTTCTCCGGAGGTCTGTCTCTAAGCCCTTTTCATTTTAGTTCCGAAAATATTGTTGCAGACAGCTGACGTGCGTATTTGTAAACAGCTTGGTTAACCTCGGACCAATGACTGATGTGTTTTATTACGTTTATCATTGTTTTAGTGTTAAAAATAAAAAGTAGTGATATACGTGGTGCATTATAAGAAGATTTAAGTGATTTGGAAGGGCTGGTTGATGATCCTGAAGAAGTAGGTAGTGATATTAATGTAAATTATCAGCCAGAGTCCTAGCTATGGTTAGGCTATGCATTCTTAGCTAAACGCTATGTACTGAAATAATCTGTTTTTTGCCCATAATATTTATTTGCAAATCTACTTCCTTATATTATTATATATTTGTAATCCTCATAAAATTTAGAACAAAGTGGCTATTTTCAAATATTTATAGGCCTATAATTTATATAATTTCATTGAGCGCAAACTTATTTTTTTTTTTTTAATTTTCCAAAAATTTTTTTTACCTAAAAATTTTTTTTGAAACAAATGTTCCTTATGTTCTATGTATAATATTGAAGCCCATGATTTTCCAAACAAAATGGTATATAGAACAGTATAATTAACATTGTTTTCAAGCTTCTCAGATCCGTTTTAATAAAACCTTGCAAATGAGCAAAAAATAGGCAGACATTAAGGCCAAAACAAGGGACACTCGGAGGGTTAAACAAATAATATCTGATAGTTTTACGGTATATTTAAAATTCACATGGAAAAACTTCATTTCACAGTCATTTGGCTATTTATATCTCAAACTTAAACTTAAGTACTGTGGAATTTTCCAAATTTTGCATTTAAATCTCAAACCATAGTGTGTAGTTTCCTTTTAAAAAGGGATTTTTTGTAACACTAATGAACATAGGCCTAGCTTTTAGCGAATTTCCCTATATAGGGAAGTATTAAAGTAGATGGCATGGTAAGACCTAGGCGGGGGACCGATTTACTTTTTCATTTTGATGCTCCCAGAGGTCTAAAACACCATTTGTTCAAATTTATTTATATATATAGGCCCTATATAGATTTATATATGTATATATATGCAGTGTTGGTGAAGCTACTTTTAAAATGTAGCTAGCTACAACTACTGCTACATTTCCAAAAAAGTAGCTTAGCTACAGCTACAGTTCCGAGAAAGTAGCTAGCTACAACTACAGCTACAATGAAATGTAGCTATAGCTACAATTTTAGCTACTTTTCCAAAGACGTTACTTTTATTCCACGCACATTAGGTAAATGTAAAATTATTTGCAACTATATAAACCTAACATTACAACAACAGAACCAAAAGTGTTCCATCATATTTAGTACTTATTTTTAAATATTGCATTATTTTTAAGCATCTTGTATCTTGCATCTTGGCACGTGGAATTTCATTAAGTTCAAAGGACATACAACCAAAATATATTTTAAAAGCCCATTTTATTTCTTTAATATACATTCATTTTTAGATGTCTGATATCAACTATTAAAAACAGTAAAACTGTAAAACGATTATTTAAAAATACTTTTTTGTGTTACAGAGCCTAGCCTACTGAAATTTGAGTTTATTGCCATTCTTTATTTTTAATCTTAAAAACGACATTGCTAGGCCTACAACTTTTACCCATAGTAACTTAATATGTTGTTCTATGAATAACACTTTACAATGTCAAGAAATCATCCTTTGTCATTATGCATAGGTCAAAATTGTGCTTCAACAAAAGTTGGTGCAGAAAACAGTATTCAGCAACTTATCCTGAAATCGGCTTTTAATTTAAACATGTTGAAAATTGTTAAGTAAAAATAACATTTGGGCGTACCTACTTGGTTTTGTAACAAGTTGGCCATAGTAGGCTTGTTCTTACAAGGACTAAACAGATATATTCCTATTAATTGAACTTGGTATTCGTATTAATCCAATAGCATAGCCTAGGAATAGTCCTTGAATAGAGCTGTTAGCAGGAGCAAACTACTGTATGCTACTTTTTCAATGCAAGTTTCATGTTATATGGAGATTTTTTCGTTACAATTATTATGTATTCTAGGCATATCTTAAATCTCATCAGGAAATTTCCTCTTCGTTCATTTAGTAAACCTTTGAAAAATCTTTGTAATCTAACCAAGGAAGGGCTTGTGATGATGAACCACAATCAACAGCTGAAGCAAAGGTTGATAGACCAGCTTTCTCATTATTTTAAGGTTTAGTGTTGGTTTCCATTAAAACCCAAGTTTAAACTAAATTGATACAATAAAGAAACTAAGTTGATTACTAATTTCCCTGTCAATCATTTACAAGCATTCAATAGCTTCTCTTGTCACCGGTGACGTTTAAATGTCGTCTGCATATAGTGGTTTTTTTTTTATCTGACAGTAATCATAGAGTAGCAAATGAAGGAAATGATAGCCAAAAATGTGGATAACACTCAGATAATGGCCTCCATGTCCACGCAACGTTGTAATAGGTAATGAAACGACTGTGACCAGCTGTATGAAGCCAAGAAAGTAGGCCTAATTTTCTTGAATATCTCGGTTTGAAAAAGGTTGTTTCACGTAAGGTTGTGATAAAAATCACTATCTCAATCAATGTTAATGTAGCGAGAATAGTAGCTAAAATCCCGCTACACTACAACTAGGCCTACTTTAAAAATGTAGCTAGCTACAGCTAAAGCTACAAAATCTTAAAAGTAGCGTAGCTACAGCTAACGCTACAAAAAAAGTAGCGCGCTACTTCCCAACACTGTATATATGTGTCCGTGAACGTGATAACTTGAGTAATTCTTGTGCGATTTTAATGAAATTTGGTTTAAAGGTGTAAGGCGGGATAAACTTGAATGAGTTCGGGAACTGATCAGACCATGGGAACAGGGTTTTACAGGGGGTTTTATGGGGTAAAAATTGGTTTTTTGTATTTTTTACCCTCAAAACTTAAAATTTCTCAATTTCTCTCCAGACTTTTTAAAAAGCTTAAAAAAACAAATAATTTAGTAGGCCTATACCAAAGTATTGTACAATAATTGGTAACGGAGAAAATTCAAAAAAATTGTAAATTTTAAAATTCTCATGTTATTCTTATGGAGAATGTTGTAAAATGTTTTAGTTTGCTTGTAACAGGATATATTTTGATCGAATTTGGCAATTTCATTTATTTTATACTAGGCCTAAGCTATTTAATATTTCTACTAAAAACACCGTTAATTAGTTTCCTTGTAGCAGCAAACCTAGGTACTCGTTAAACCTAATGTTATTTAGATAGATTTAATAGAAAATCAATTCAGACAAATGGAAATTCGCTCAGTCGGCAAGTTTGCTGCAGCGGGGGTATTTTAATACTGTCATGTTTAAACTCCTCTGCTTTAATTTGTAAATATTTGACATATTGTGCCTTTATAATTATACATCCAGCATGTATTATTTAAATTACATTGAACCTATAGCCCAGGCGCATATTGAGCTGTGCGCCAATACCGGTCAATACGGTCTGGGCAGTGCAGCACAGCACAGGGCAGAATCGGGCAAAATGTCTGTGTTGCACAGTTGTCATCGCATATTGGGAAGCAGTGTCGTACAGTTCTTGTATAGGAGTGAACAGTTTCGTGTGTGAACATGTTGTTAAATATTAGGATCTGAGTTCTGAGTCATTTTCAGGTGCTGATCTAGATTTATTGTTACTTCTTCACCAGAGAACAAGAAAGAAAGGGCGAAAAAATTTGCAATGTTTAGTGATTTTCGTATTTTCTCCCAGATTTCATTCTTGTAATTACTCTTTATATACCCACTATGAATGGTAACGTAAAAACTGGATAAAAACGCAAAATTTGTATTAATTATCCTCTAGATCCGTCACAAAACAATAGTCAACCCGGCGCAGGTGAGCAATGCGGCACAGACACTTGTGACTCGACCACAAGTGCGCGCAGTCCACGTGCGGGACTGCCCTGCCCTGCGCTGCGCTGCGCCATAATATGCGCGTGTCCTAGCAAACACATGGTTTACAAAACACTGCCCTGCGCTGCACTACGCTGCGCTGCTCCGACTGCGTCTCAATATGCGCCGGGCCTTAGAAGCCCGAGGTACGGATGCCTAAAGTAAGCCGTTCAAGAACAGGAGTAGAAAAGAGATCTTCTCGCCGGTGTATAGAGCAACCTCCCAGAGTTTCATGGGAATCCGATGGACGGTTTTGTAACACAGAAAGGAAAAGTACTGTCATAGAACATATGCCTACATTGGATTTGAAATGAAATAGAAAAAAATGATATGAAAATTATTTATTTACCCAGGCAACAGTGCCGCATTTAGGGTACTTGCGGCCCTAGGCCAAATTACTTGAGCGGCCCTCCCCCTGTGGTGAAAATTCCTTGCGATCGCGGAAGTAATAGTGACTATCTCCTATACATCAAGGGGACATCATCATCGACACCCGTGATCCTGAATAAAATCGTGGACATCTCTCCTAAACCAAGTCAAAGCCATCATAGTTATCCGGGACCGCAGTAAAATCGTGAACATCTCCCGCGGGCCGCAATCACGGGGACATCATAATTGAAACTTGCGATCGCGGCAAAGTCGTGTTAAAAAACCTCTCCCGTCGACTGCGATCATGACGACTTCATCATTGTCACCCGCGACCGTGCCGAAATCTTAAACATCCCGCTCGGGAAGCCATCACGGGAACGTCCTCATTGACACCCCGAGCCGCGGCGAAATCGTTAACAACTCCCGTGAACCACGATCACAGGGACATCATCATCAACACTCACAGCCGCGGTGAAATCATGAACATCTGCTGCGGACCGCAATCACGGGGACATCATCATCGACACTTGCGATCGCGGCAAATTCGTGTTAAAAACATCTCCCGTGGACTGCGATCATGAGGACTTCATCATTGTCACCCACGGCCGTGCCGAAATCGTAAACATCCTCCTCGGTAAGCCACCACGGGGACATCCAAATTGACACCCCCAGCCGCGGCGAAATCGTTAACATGACGCCATTGTATTATTCTTAATGAAATTACAAAATAAAGAATGAAAAAAAACATCTCCCGTGGGCCGCAATCACGGGGATGCATCATCAACACTCACAGCCACGGTGAAATCATGAACATCTGCCGCGGACCGCAATCACGGGGACATTATCATCGACACTTGTGACCGCGGCGAAATCGTGAACATCTCCCGCACACGGGCCGCAATCACGGGGACATCATCATTGACAACTCGATAAAGCATCTAATTCGTGAACGTCTCCTGCGGGCTGTGATCATAAAGAGACATCCCCGTCACCCACGGCCGCGGCTAAATCGTGAACGTCTCCCGCGGGCCGCAATCACGGGACTTCATCACAGGCACCCGAGGCCGCGGCAAAATCGTGAACATCTCCCTCGGTCCGTGGAGACATCATTATGGTCACCTGTGATCGCGGCAAACTGGTGGTTTAAAATAAATATTATTTGTTATTAATTTTATCTAAAAAATGTTTTTCCCAATCCTCTGCGGCCCCCTTTTGCTTGCGGCCCTAGGCCGCGGCCTAATCGGCCTAGTGGTAAATCCGGCACTGCCAGGCAAAGTTAGGGCCACATGGCCCTTTCTTAAACTAAACCTGGATTTAATTTATTTAAGTTTGAATTGAGTTTGTATTTACTAGGTTCAGCATCACTTATAGGTCTTGCTACCACGTCCATTTCAATCTTAGTGCAAAAACAGGTCTGAGTGAGGGGATGGGGGTCCAATTACGTTCTTAGACGGAAGACTAAATTGACGGGGTAAAATTCCAGGTAGTTACTATTCCAGCCTGTCCAGATTTCTAGATCCTGATAAGGCACAACTCCGCCACCCTCTTCCTTTTGGGCCTACATAAGCACTTCCGTATTATGTGAACAGATAATTGTAGATTTTTCTCCAGCCTCATCTTTTTAGTCAACTACTTTTACTTTTTTAGATTTAAAAACACAAGGCCTTTTTCTTTTGTCTCAGTTTCTATCGCTTTACATTTTGCAGATTCAACCCTTTACTCGTGCAAGGAAGCACAGAATAGTGGCACTTATTTACATCATCCTAGGCCTAAGAGTTTCTTTCTGGTTGGGGACGAACACAATGTACTCTCTCTCCACCTGTGATTTGCCCAACATCAAGGTTTTATTGTTTGTGCAACAGACTACCTACTTTATTATGTTTTAATTGAAATTGTCATGAGTTATATTTTTCTGACATTATAACTTATTGTAGGTAACTTATTGAGTTAGTAAAATGGACAAGAAAAGTAAAAAGAAAGAAGTGAAAATGTATTTTGTGATACCTGATGGATGCAATCAAGATGAAGTCCAGGATGGCTTGAAAATGGCTTTTCAGGTAGGTTTAAAAGCTTAAAAACTGAATTAAATATGTAGACCAACATACTGATAGAGGAAGAGACCCTTAAAATAATAAATAAACACCTACACAGTAAAATATTGATGAACACAAACTAACAATAAAGACTTTTTTGTGTTTTTTTTACAGTTAAATCTTGACATGACCACGATGGTAAACCATTAATTTTGAATGTTTTTCTTGGTAAAAGTTTTCGGACAAATCAAACTTCAGAAGCGCTTTTAGCACAATCATCAAGCACACATTTTACTCTACCTTGCACCAAACAATTCATCGTTACTAGACCCAGATGCCTCTTGTGATTGGGCTATCAATTTAAAATGCTATCTACAAAAGTACCACCGCCACAGAAAACCTGAACACTAAGTGAATTTCCATGTATGTCTCATTGTATTTTTACTAAAATATCAGTCTATAACCCATTGACTTATTGGATATTATTATTGTTGTATTAATAGTCAAAGCTATAACTTAAATGTCAGATTTATTCCCTATCTAAAAAAACATTAGTTTAACAATTACTTAGGTTTGCTGACACATGGAAGGTAATGAGGTAGTTTCTTAGTGAAACGGTTATAGTTAAGTACCATATATAATAAATAAATGTTCTAAATTTTGATTAAAATATGTTCATAAATAAGCAAAGTATGACAATTTTTTTTATTCTGGAGATTTTGTTATAGTTTTTTTTGGAATCTTACTAATATTATAAATCTTAAATAAATAAATCTTTATTATCACATAATAGATGAGTGAACGAAGTGAACGAATCTATGTATCGTATATAGCGGAGTCGGAGAAAAGTTGTCCGCTGGAGTATGTGTGTGTGTGTGTTCGCACCTAAAACTCAAGAACCGTTGCACTTATAGCGTTCAAATTTTGCACAAATAGTTATGACACCAGTGTAAAGACACCATTAAAATTCTAGACGATTCCGCTCAGTAGTAATTATAAAATACTTAAAAAACATTTTTAAATTTGTCCCATAAGAATAACATTAGGAGCTACCTTCTTCTTCTTTTTATTTGTTTACGTTTTGCGACCAACAATTTTGTTGTCTACTTAAGACAGAGAGAACGACTTTTACTCTAAGCTCTTTCATTCATGGAGTAAACAGTTTTGGCGTCTATGAATATATATCATTATAATTTATAACGGAGGGAACAGGTCCCCGACGTAGAGAGTAGTAAAGAAAGCGGAAAGGTGAGCAGTGAAAAGAAAGGAGTACGGAAGTTAAATTAACGTATCTGTAATACTTAAATGCTATGGAAAGATAGGAAACAGGTCTACGATGTAGGAAGTAGTGAAGGAAATAGTGAAGGAAATAGTCAAGGCGAGCACTGCGGAGTGTGGGGGCCTTTATGACAGTTAGAATAATGTATCTGAATTCTAAAAATGCTATGGGAAGGGAGAGAAACAGGTCCACGATGTAGGAAGTGGTGAAGGAAGTAGTCAAAGTGAGCAGTCCGGAGTGTGGGAAGCCTTTGTGAGAATTAGAATAATGTATCTGCAATTCTAAAAATGCTATGGGAAGGGAGGGAAACAGGTTCACGACACTTAGGAAGTGGTGAAGGAAGTAGTCAAGGCGAGCATTCCGGAGTGTGGGAACCCTTTGTGGAAGTTAGATTAATGTATCTGCCATAATAAAATGCTATAGGAAGGGAGAGAAACAGGTCCACGACGTAAGAAGCAGTAAAGGAAGTAGTCAAGGCGAGCAGTCCGGAGTGTAGAAACCCTTTGTGGCAGTTAGATTAATATAACTGCAATACTGAAATGCTATAGGAAGGGAGAGAAACAGGTCCACGACGTAGGAAGTGGTAATGGAAGTAGTCGAGGCGAGCATTCTGGAGTGTAAAAACCCTTTGTGATAGTTAGATTAATGTAACTGCAATTCTAAAATGCTATAGGAAGGGAGGAAAACAGGTCCACGACGTAGGAAGTGGTAATCGAAGTAGTCGAGGCGAGCAGTCCGGAGTGTAGAAACCCTTTGTGACAGTTAGATTAATATACCTGCAATACTGAAATGCTATAGGAAGGGAGGGAAACAGGTCCACGACGTAGGAAGTCGTGGTAATGGAAGTAGTCGATGCGAGCATTCTGGAGTGTAAAAACCCTTTGTGATAGTTAGATTAATGTAACTGCAATTCTAAAATGCTATGGGAAAGGAGGGAAACAGGTCCACGACGTAGGAAGCGGTGAAGGATGTAGTCAAGGTGAGCAGTCCGGAGTGTGGGAACCCTTTGTGAAAGTTAAATTAATCTATTTGAAATTCTAAAATGCTCTAGGAAGGGAGGGAAACAGGTCCACGACGTAGGAAGTGGTGAAGGATGTAGTCAAGGTGAACAGTCCGGAGTGTGGGAACCCTTTGTGAAAGTTAAATTAATCTATTTGAAATTCTAAAATGCGATAGGAAGGGAGGGAAACAGGTCTACGACGTAGGAAGTGGTGAAGGAAATAGTCGAGGCGAGCATTCCGGAGTGTAGAAACCCTTTGTGATAATTAGAATAATGTACAGTATCTGCAATTCTAAAAATGCTATGGGAAGGGGGGGAAACAGGTCCACGACGTAGGAAGTGGTGAAGGGAGTAGTCGAGGCGAGGAGTCCGGAGTGTGGGAACCCTTTGTGACAGTTAGATTAATGTATCTGCAATAATAAAATGCTATGAGAAGAGAGGGAAACAGGTCCACGACGTAGGAAGTGGTAAAGGAAGTAGTCAAGCTGATCAGTCCAGAGTGTGGGAACTCTTTGTGACAGTTAGATTAACGTATCTGCAATAATAAAATGCTATGAGAAGAGAGGGAAACAGGAAATACGTTACGTATATTACCAATGACTTTGGTTAATTAATGGACGAGAAGTTAGGATTGTTGTTGACTGAGATTTGGTTTTTTTTTAAGAGGTTGGTCCAGCCTCTTTTAACCTCGCCCGTGCGTGGATCGTTTACAGCAAAGAAATTGGTGAGCCGGTACAGTACAAAGGTGAACTGTACTGATAAAATTTAGTGGCAGTGACCAGGATCCGAACTCACGACATCGCTGCCTTGGGCCCGAAGTTCGCGTGACGCTACCATGACGCTACCGACTTGAGTCACCGACTCACCATTATTTGCCCCGACTCATGGGTTGATTTGCCCATACAAATAACATTATTGTGTACACCAGTGACACCGGTAAGTGTGCTAGGTGTGGGTAAACTATTTCATTATTGCGCTCATGTTCACTCATCCTGTTACGCGCAGAATAAGCGTACTACTAGTGTATAGGGCTACATAATATAGCAATGCTATAAAACAGGTGACATTATTGTCAAAATACAAATAGCTTTAAAAGACTAAGGAGCTATAAAGGACTAAAATAAAATAAAACTTTAACAATAAAAGTGGTATAAAACAAAATGTACCTATCAGTTAAAAATTTAGTGAAAACTAATTTATTTTTATACAACCTGATCAGTTAAGATCTCATCTATACTGTAATAGGGTTTTCTTTTCTTAAAAGAAAATTGGCAAGGCTGCTTTTGAAATGCTTGGACTGTATTTTGTTCTTTAATTCTTGAGACAGTTTATTAAATAGTTTTTTGCGAATGTATGTCGGGGGTTTTTTCTACTAATGAAAGACGATGTCGCGGATATTGAAAGTTAGTTTTAAACCTAGTATCATACTTATGCTCAACGTTTTCACTAGCCTAAATAATTTTTCAAAATTTACTTCTACCTTCAAAAGTGTTTTAAAAATTATTGTTAAACTCTGAACAACCATTAATCATAATTCTTTAAAATTTGGCTTACATGATGTTCTCCATGGTGCAAATGTCACTATTCTTAAACATTTTTTCTGAATCTTAAAAATTAAATCAATGTTTGATGCAAAGCCCCAGAATTCTATTCCATATTGAAGAATTGGATAGAAGTATGCATAGAATAACATCAAACGAGTTTTTAAGTCAATTGTGTTTCTTAACCCTTTCAGTGCTATGAAACGATATATCGTTGTTTTAAAAAATCTCTAAGGGATATAGAGAGGAAGGTTATTTTAACAAAAAGTAGCAAAACGGCCATTGGTGACTTGCATGTTCATAGGATACACTAACAACCACTTAGCTAAAAGATTCGCCCAATCCGATGATTTCGAGGTGTATGTCTAAACCAAGGATTATGAACCTCTCTATTGCCCCAGTGGTTGTAGTATATCGCTACAAACACACAGGTCACCAATTATTTGCCACACAGGACGGGAATCGAACCCGAGCAGACGAATGCCACTGGCCAAGTGACACACGCCCTAGCCTTCTCGGCTATCTGTGCTTGAAGACTGAGGAGTCAAAATCGGGTATTTAAGCTGACGCCACCGATTGCGAACAGATAGCGCTACAGATGGTTGTTCAATGTGTTACTAGGTAGCAGCACTAGTTCTTATCTTATCTAACAGAGGCAGGTCGAGACCTTAAAGCACTTCATCCAAAATCGAATTATTGCGCACCCCAGACAATTGCTTTCTTGTTGACCTACAAGTTAAGGCGCCCAATGAATGCCTGTAGCTTCCCAATTAGTTCATCCTCAGGAAGGTATCTACCTCTAGCCATATTTCCAAGAGTTATCAGTCTAGCGTCAGAGAGCTCGTTACAATCAAAGAGTAAGTGATCAGCTGTCTTTTCTGACCTATCACAGTACCTACAGATCGGTTCACCATCATATAAGCCCATCCGTTGTAAATGTTTCCTGAATCTTCCATGACCAGTTATCAGTTCAACAATTAATTTAATTCTTCGTCTGTCTAGTCTCAAGAGGTCAGAGGCAACCTTTTTAGAAGGCCTAAACAGAGTAAGCTTGCTGACCCTAAGAAGGGGAACATCAACCCAACGTTTGCGATGCTTTTCCTTGGCCCATGACGCAATCGCAGAACATGCACTGTTTCGTGAGATGATTCAAGATTCAAGATCTTTATTTGTCATTAAGCAATACAAGTATTACAATAGACAT